GTGTCAGATTCTTTTTTATGTGAACGTTTATCATCTGATCTGGCCCTTACATTATCCTCTTCCATTCTCTGCTCCTGACTATAACCTGGAGATTCTCTATTATTAGACTCTCCCCTAAGAGAAGTCTCTGTCCGATCCACATGCTCCTCTGCAGCAGTTGACTTTCCCCCATCTCCTAGTTTAAAAGCTGCTCTATAACCTTTTTAATGTTTTGTGCCAGCAGTCTGGTTCCACTTTGGTTTAAGTGGAGCCCATCTCTCCTGTATAGGCTCCCCCCATCCCAAAAGTTTCCCCAGTTCCTAATGAATGGGCAAAATGTGGACAGGGACACGGGAAGGGGTGGAATGGGGTAGGGTCATGGGTGGGGCCGCGGGCAGAATGGGGATGGGACCGCAGGCGGAGGGGGTTGGGCAGGGCCACAATTCCAGCATCAGAGCGCCCCCCCCACCACACACACGCACACACTTGCTCTGACCCAGGGCCTCAGGAGATCTTAATCTGCCTCTGTCTGTAGGTTTTGCATCTGTTGTTCTGGCACGGTCTGGTGCTGCTTTGAATTAGTGTGTCCTGGTCTATGGGAGGCTTACTTCTGATTTGGGGAGTTGTTAAAAGGCCAGAAAAGAGGGTTTGGGAAAGATTTCTTTCAGGATGTGGTTCCCATCAAGTATGGGTTGTAATTGTTTGATGATACTCTATAATGGATTCCAGTATGGGTTGGTGGGTGACAAGCAGGGATGTGCGTTTGGAGTTTGGGGGTTTGTTTGGGTGGGTTTTGGGTCGGTGGGTTTTTTTGTTGTTTTTTTTGGAGGGACGGGGTGGGGGGTTTGGTATCAAAGTAAGTTCTCTTGAGGTATTTAGGTGGCCCGTTCCCTGATGTGATTTGCTTCTCTGATGGAGTCTCTTTGTTTGATGAAGGCAGTTATAAAGATGTTAAGGGTCTATCTTTGGAGCATATTCTGTGGAATCTGAGTTCCTGGCTTTCGATAACAGATTTCTTGGTGTGTTTGGGGTGGTTACTGGATCTGTGAAGGTAGGTGAGGTGATTCATGTGTTTCTTGTATATAATTGTCTGTAGGGTTCCATTGCTGAAGCTTATCGTGCCATCCAGGAAGTTGATGCTGGTTATGATGTTGTTCCTGAATGCCATGATCAGCTTCAACATCCTGGACATAACCAAATATTAGTATCTTCCACCAATAGAAGTTGGTCCAAATAAAAGTTACCTCTTCCATCTTGTCTCTCTCTTATCCTAGAGCCTACACAGCTGCAACAGCATTGCAAAATACATAACTGTCGTTCTTTTGTTTCAATCTATCCTCTTTCCTTTCTGTTTCATGTGAATTTGCTTCCTTGATCCCTACTGGTGACTTCAATGCTTTTTCAGCCCCTGTACTTTTCCTTCAGAAAGGAAACCAGATTTTTTTTTACTTATTGCCTCACTTTCTTGTCAAAGAGCAGTAGTTAAAGCTGGAAGATGATGTGATAACAGGATTTGGCTTGACTGGTTTTCCCTCACTGATTGTTGGTCTGGTCTGCCTTTAAATTGTAGAACACAGCACTCTATTTAGATTTGCCTCAAAAATTAGATCTGAGTTATTTGTGGGAATAGCTACTTATTTTATTTTCCTGTTATTTAATGTCAAAAAGGATTTCCAAAAAGTGATCAATGTGCTGTGTGAATGTTGCTAATAAAAACACCTGGAAACTTAGAATAATTTCATAGCACTGTATTCCTATGATTTCTGTAGTAATCAATATTCAGGTAGGAGGGAATTGCCATAATGCAGGGGATAATTCTTACCCACTATAAAGCTAAGGGACCCTGCTACCATGAAGTGTCAGATCTTGGGTCGAATTAGGAAAATGACCCTGTACCAAGGAGACGTCACCAAATATCGGTATCCAATTTAGGTCCTGATCCTACAAGGAATCCTTGCAGATGGACCTCTATACCCATTTGTATCCAACTGAAGTCAAAGCACACAGATTTTACTTCAGGATTGGGCCTTAGGTTGTAATTGTAATGGGGCAGGGAACTGCCTTATATACTGCCAAAGCCAATAAATAATAACTATCTCAAATTATTCCAATATGCACACGTTTCCAAAAAGGAGGAATTCATCTCCATTTTTTTCTACTCATTTCCATAAAATTTTAAGTTCTCAGGGGGTGGGGAGGATTACCCCAATATGCCTCTTTAATAAACAAAAAACAAAGATACAAAACTACCAGCTCTGTATATTTGGATTACCTCAGTTTTCAAGATCATTTTCCTTATTTAAATAATTTGGGCCAAATTCTTTTGAACATTTTGGTTTTGCAAAATTAATGTAATTGTCTTTTAAAAGGTCATTGGATTGCCATTGTCTTTTCCCATAAAATGCACTGTTCTGAATTTCCAGAGAATGCTGTTTAATCATATCGGAGATGGTGCTTTGCCCCGAAGTGATCCTAACCTGTCTGGCCCTGAGAAAGGTGAGTAGAATCCTGTACCACTGCCAATCTGGGTATCAGTGAACAGGGGCGGCTATATGTATTTTGCCGCCCCAAGCCCGGCAGTCAGGCAGCCTTCAGCGGCATGCCTTCGGGAGGTCCGCTGGTAACACGGATTCGGCAGCATGCCTGCGGGAGGTCCGCCGGTCCCGCGCCTTCAGCCTACCCACCGCCGAATTGCTGCCGAAGCCGCGGGGCTGGCAGACCTCCCTCAGGCATGCCGCTGAAGGCTGCCTGACTACCGCCCTCACGGCAACTGGCAGGCCGCCCTCCGCGGCTTGCCGCCCCAGGCATGCGCTTGGTGCGCTGGTGCCTGGAGCCGCCCCTGTCAGTGAAGATAAATTTAAGTTGTCACTCTAGAATATCACTCCTCCTGACTGGCTGGTGAATAATAATAGTTCCTAGATCTCATATAGCACTTCGCATCCATACGTCTCAAATTGCTTCACAAGGAAAGAACAGTGTACCTGTGATCTGAGCCTTGCATTCAGAAGGACCCAGCAGATAGCAGGGAGTCAGAGATGGAACAGCAGATGGGAAGGCATTGCTGCTGGCTGTCTGCCTGCTAGCATGGTCTTGAGCTGACTGGACTGGATCACTTGGGAGGAAGTTTAAAGGCTCAGGAGTGGGAGAAAGATACATGTTCATCTGGAGGCTGAAGGGGAGGTTGAGATGATCTTGGGATGGGAGGGAACCCTGAAGTTTGGTACATCCATTTCCCATTTAGCCATACATAATCTACCTCTGCTCCCCCTGTTTATATCTGGAATGCTATTGGAAATAGATCTAATTATCTTTAACATATTAAAGTAAATAAGAAACATCCATTATTGGCTATAAAGAAAATATAAATGAGAGTGCTTCTGTATTGTTGGCGTAATTACCCCTTCACAGAGCACTAAGTTTTAAACTGAAATCACTCTGGAATACACAGAGACACTCCAAATGGTTTGCAGTAAAACAGATTAATTCAAATCATACAATTCAAAAGAAAATTATAACTAGAGCCGACCAGGAAGTGGAATTTCCATCCTGCAAAGTAAATTGAGTTTTCTAATATTTTTTCATCCTGAATCAGGATGAAAATTCAAAAGCCAGAATTTTTCATGGGACCAAAAAATCCAAAATGGCCAGGCCAGGGATTTGGAGCAATCAAATTTTTGAATTGCTCCGCTCCGGCTATGCTCCAGCTGTGGGCAAAAACCTACTGGTCCGCACTCCAGCTCCGGGCTCTGCTCCAAAGCTCTGGTCCAGGCAGCAGAAATATTTTGGTCTTTACAAAATGGTATATGCTGATCTGGGAGCTGAAGAACTGGCCGTCTAGGTAGTCTACTCAACCACCAGATTAGAACCTAGGGAGCCAGTTAGCCGGGGTCCTGCCCATCTGGTTACTTTTAAAGTAAGGACAGCTCATGCTGCTAGATGGAAGTAACATATTACCATTACCATTAAATGTCTCTCTTACATATTAGGAAATAACAAGACAAAATGTTTTTTTAAGAAATAGGCTGATTACTGTGTGCTGCTCTCAGGGTCAACCCTCTACTGCAGAAGCACTCCCCAGGAGAATTAATCAAAAAGATCGATAAAAATGTTCTCACTGGAATGCATTTTAATTGGTACCTATTAAAAGCATAATATATGTTATGTGTACTTATGAATAAATGAATATTAAAATGTAAATGGGGAGTTGCCAGGTAAACCTGAATCCTGGATATTAGGACTGGAAAATTAAATATACAAGGAATCTTGGTGCTTTAAATACATTTGTTTTAATTTAGTTCATGAATTCGTTGTTCTGCAAGCAAACAACTTCATTATTTAGCCCCCCTTGAATAAAATTGTTCACTCATCATGAATTAGTTCTTTGTAATATCTACAGGGAACATTTTATAAAATGTTTCTGCTTTAGAAATGTAATAAAATGTCAGGAAATTTTTGTCATTGTTTTGTTTTTTAATGTAGTGACAGGTTGTGAGCAATATTTCTGCAAATGTATTACTGTCAAGGTTGGTTCGTGCCAGTATCAGATTGGTCATTATTATCTGGGCACATGAACATCAGGGCACATGTGACTATAGAAACCAATTGGATACTGGTTTAAACATATCTCCCTCTCCCTCTTACCTTGTGCCCCCCTTATTTGTGTATTTATTTCCTGTTATGTATTTTCTCAATTGTAAGATCTCTGGGTTAGGAGATTGGAGCCTAAGGAGCCAGTTAGCCGGGGTCCTGCCCATCTGGTTACTTTTGTTATTTGTACAGTGCCTGGTACAGTAGGAATCTCGTAGTCCTTAAATGTACTGTAATAGAAATAGTGAATAACAACATGAACACCGCACTCTGACTTTCACTCCATTCTTGTAAATGAGCACAAGGTCCTTCTTGTGTTTCAGTACCATGTTTGCACACAAGTATGGAGGACAGGCCAAGAGAAGAATGGTGTAGACAGAGCTTGTGCTCCCTATATCTTGGAAGCACTTTGAATTTATTGTCAACAGATGGTTCAGCTTAAAAGGGCTTCTACCAATTCTATAGTTCTTTTTTTTTTTTAAGGTAATAGATTTTTCATTAACTAGAGGGTAGCTTTGAGGAAAATTTGCAATTTTTAAGATCTCTTTTGGGTCTGCCAGTGCTAAATATCTTTTTGTCAGACAAGTGTGGAGAATATTATAGTATGAGACCTCTCTGGTTCCCGTCATAGAGAATATTCCATGCTTTGTGCAGTAATCACTATTCCATGCACTACAATTCAATTAAAGATGTATAAGCCCCGGAAAATGACACTGATAAATACCAAACAGTGATCTTATACAAGTCAAGGGTGCCAAAGTCATACTGCAACCGAGTAAAATTACATTTTTAATTAGAACCTTTGGACCTCATGGATACAAAGTAAAGGTCATATGCTGCCCTCACTCCATTTTTGTGTGCAGTTTTTAATGTTTTTTAACTTTATCTCTTCTCTTCATCAGCTTATGTATTTTTGTTCAGTTCCTGTACCCCCCCCATTTTGCGCTCTCTCTCTCGGGTTTTTTGCGGGGGTTTTTTGGGGGGGGGGGCGTGTCTATGCCAGGGCAACAGAAGTGTGTTAACATTGAAGATATTCTGAGGGAATATTGGCTGGAATTCTAGTCAGTTTACTTCTCCAGTCTTTCCATATGTAAAGCGATTCAGAGGAAACTGCCTAGGAACAGTCTGTTTCATTCCACATAGAACTCTTTAAACAGGGAGCCTGCTACAGGGGGAATCTGAGGGCAGGTCTACACTTTTGCTTAAGTCATTGTAACTTACCACACTTAGGGCTGTGAAAAAGTCACCCCCCTGAGTGACGCAAGTTACAGCAACCTAAGCGCTGTCCACACTGGCGCTGTCAGCGGGAGATGCTCTTCCACTGACACAGCTTCCGCCTCTCGTGGAGGTGGGGTAATTATGCCGACAGGAGAGCGCTCTCCTGTCAGCATAGAGCGTCTCCACCAGATGCACTACAGGAGCACAACTGCATCGGTGCAGCTGCGCCTGATGCAGTGCTTCTAGTGTAGAGTAGCCCTGACTCATGGGATCGTCGTCTGTTTCCCTCTGTAGTTGGATCTGTGTGTGCAAAGCACCAGAGTGCTCTTTCAGTTGCTATTGCTCATGAGATCCAAATTGCGGTACAATCTCAGACTCACCTAGGGAGCCAAATACACACATCAAGCAGGCCAGGAGTCTAACATGCATGATTTCAAGTGCTTTTTTAAATGCTATTGTAATCAGGTGAGTTTTTCAGGCATGCTGTTAAGTTGGTTAACATTTTAACTCTACATATTTGTAATCTTCATGGATATAGGAAAGGTGGAGAGGTTGGAATTGAGAGCTGGAAATATTAGCGGATGTGTCAGCATTGTCATTCTCTTCCAGCTGTAAACACCACACCCAGCAGTTGGAGTCTGGACAGTGGAAAAGAAGCCAGGAACATGTCAGAAAGTGGAAAGCTTATGTCTCCCCCTGTGCCACCAAGACCCACACAAACTGGTGAATATATGAACATTTCAGGCCAACCTCCAATACAAAATGATTTACTTGATGGCTTTGACTCTTTCCACTGTGATTAACACTTAACACCCTGGGAAGGATAATTTATCAGTTCATTGACTCAGATGGAAGGCTGTAGAGCTGCAGTTACTTTCATCTTGTTAATGTTCTGTACTCTTGTAACATTCCATTTTCAATATCCTGCATCTTCATTTAATGACTTATTAGATTCAAGCAGTTCATGTTGATACCCAGAAGAGATGATTGATTTTTTGGTCTTTTGATCTTACAATGATTGGAGGTTAGTAATCACAACCTGGGCACTCTGAAAAGAAGCATCTTATTGGGTGGTGCTATATAGGCAGTCATGTAATGCCATGGTTTCAGTTTCATTAACCAATTTGTCCTTCAAAAAATCATTTTGTCAATTTAAAGGAAAAGATATTTAAGTGCTACCTTAAGTATGATTGTTTTCAAGTGATTGAAGATATTTTCCATTTATCCTCACAATACACCATGGACCTGCAGGCCTCTGGGAGAAGCATGCTTTGTGATGTGTTATTGCTTGTTTAACACATATGTACAGAATTTTTTCCTTAAAAGAACAAACAAAGGGAGGGGAAGAGAGCATGATAAGGAAATTTTTTCAATCACGTTGCCAGTTAGTTTAGAATGATGTAAAAATTGCCAGGGGAGATGGGTGCATAAATATTTCATGCTGTATGTATTCTCTTGTAAGATAACCTTTGCATAACTTTGAAAACAATTGAAATCTTCTAAAGTATGCACAGCCTTTGAGCAAGATGCACAGAATCGAACAAGGGGAGGCAGTGGGTAGTAAAAATTGGATCATCTTTTTTCCATTAACAAAGCTTTCCCAGGAATACCTTTGTATCGTTTTTTTGGGTTTTTTTCTTTTTTCTGTGATCCATCTAAACATACCGGTGACCTTTTGTATCTGGTAGAATTTCTGTAATAAATCTGATTTACAGTTTTCACGAGGGTGGCATTCTAAAATCGGTCTAGTTTCTATGAAATTAAATGGAACCCTTTCTAACTTCACAGCTTCACCGGCAAGGCATGTAGCTTCAGTTTCCCCTTCTCCTGCTGGCAGATCTCCAATGAAGGTACTGGCCTGTTCCATGGGGCTTGTTATGTCTATGTGGTGTGGTGTATAACTTTTATTTCATATTGTCTGTTTTAGATAATTTCTTATGCTACTGCATTTATGCCCATTTCACATTCACAAATGTAACTGACAGTAGCAGCCCTAAAACCTTCACACTAAGATTTTCAAAACTGTGTACCTAAAGTTAGGATCCTAAATATTTAGACACTGAAATTAAGTGGCCTGATTTTCAGAAATTCTGAGCACCCAGAAGCTCTCATTTGAAAATTTTGGCCTAAGACTTTGTCCAGATAATATATCAGATGTAATGTCCTTAACAAATGTGGAAGCCTCCTACTACACAAAGGAATACAACCTGAAGAAAGCAGTTTAGCAGGATTTCCGAAATACACCAGCTTTCTTAGCCCACAGTGACGATTAAATAAAACCCTCTTCACTCCTCCCCTGCCATACGTTGGACTCAATCTTTGGGCCTTCTTCCAGCCCCTTTGCATTGCCTGAGGAAGCTGCCCCTAAGAATCTAATCTAAGTTCCATTGATGTAAATGAAAATCTTTCCATTTTTCCAATGACTTCAGTGGGCTTTGAATCAATCTCTAGATGGGCAGCCAAGAATTCCCCCGGCATGGGGTGGAGGTGCATAAAGCCAGCTCTAAGCACCTGTCTCCACTCCACTGCTGTGCTCACAGCTATCTGATCCTAATCTGGAACAGAGCAGCTGGGCACCAGCCAGCCCAAGATCAGGGGAACAGAAAGTTGTTTTAGATCCACATTCCCTCCACCACTGTTCAGCTGAGGATTGAGTCTGGTGTGCCCGGACTGTCTCTCAGACTAGCTAGCATAAGTCTAACGTATTTGGTACTTAGCAAAACCTTTTGTATGTATAATATCTTTTCTTATCTCTTCAGTTGTTTGTTGTTGTATATTTCATACCTTAATACTAATAAGTCTGAGTTTATGACTAAGTCATAATTAAAAACTAATTGTATTTCTTACAGTTTTTCAAACCCAAGCTTCTTTCATTCCTTTCTTCAGCAGAATCTGAACCTCTGGCCTGTAGTACCGTGTGGCCTAGTAACTTCCAGGACAGTCAGAGGAGAATAAGGAGATTCTAATGGACAGTATACTACTGGTGCCTAATTATTGCAGTGATGGGCATTATATAAAAATGCTTAGGATAAACTGAGTTTTCAGCAAATCTCTAGAAGTCTACACCTTTCCTAACGCATTCAATTCCTCACAATTCAGTACAAGTGCTATTCCACTGTAAAGAAATCAAAATCAAAAAGGGAAAATTATTTTACTGTGATTCTGCTTCCCTGAAGATGTTCTGCTAAAGTTTTCCTTCCTCTCTCTCAACTCCTTAGCGTCAGACCAACCAAATTCTATTGGTTCATGAAGAATTTTGGCCCACCAGGATAGCAGTAATGGAGTAGTGTGTGTCATGTCCCCGCTTTGACCATTGTGCACCATCCCCTGCCTGGTATTAATGCTACCCAACAAACATTGCAAGTCAGATCCTTCACTTACATCGGTGGCAGAGTTCCCAGGAGAGGCCAATTAAAAATATTTTATCGTCACTGAAAAAATTGCTCCAGAGAAAAAACAGAAACAAAGTGCAAGCACTGAGACATTTTAAAAAAAGATCACTAGAGTTGAGGAGGAGAAAAAGTACAATTTTCACAATCCCTTTTTTTACTGTTAAACAGGTTTGTTTGTTTTTTCAAAAAAAGAAAAATTACAACCAGCTCTAATAATCCCCAAATTATATGTGGGGTAAGTGCATAAGAAATCTATTCGAGTAAAATCTACAGAAAACTATAATTACAGGTAATTTTTACTTCTCTAATGATTCTCACTGCCAGGATTCTCACTCCTGGAAGGTAAGAAGCTTAAGAAATGTGCCAGCAGAAAAATGACATAAGGTAGCACTGATATAGGCTCTGTATCAAGGGTAGAACTTCATGCCCCAAGAGCACTGACGTTTGAGTGTCTTCATCAGTGCAAAAACCGGTTTGCCTCTGCCAAGAAATCCTATATCTGTCAATGTAGGATGCAAGCAGTGCCTTGAAGTTGGAATAGTATCCTTTCAAAAGATTACAAGTGAACCAGCAAAGCTGGATTCACTCTTCCCATCTCCACTTCTGTAACATGACTGTAGAAAGGGGAAATCTGGAAACCATAATGTGGAGCTGCCTTGAGTTGGAGGCCTCAACAGGAGTACATGGAAGAGATCCTGGCCCTCTCTCAGTACCTACTGTTTTCATCCTTTCTGAAGACCCAAGAACTCAATACTGAGGACCAAGAACTCAATACCTATGACTTCAGGTATCGAGGGTGGCACATGACTGCCAACAGAGGGCCTGTTTTATACTCTACTCCAGTACTATTGTTCTTGAGGATAAAAATTCTTTAAGATTTGAGGGAGTTCTACCAATCTTGTGCTGAGGAACTAGGACTCATAAGTGAGAATCTTAGTGAATAATATCTTTAGTAAATAATATTTATCACATATACAATAGCTTGAGCTGCCTCATCACCACTTGGCTTAGAGCAAACAATACTTCTAAACCAGGCTGGCGATGGTGATTTGAGTATATTCCCAATCCTGGAAGTTCTGTGGCTTTCACAAGCAAAAGATGCTAAAAATTTTCAATGACATTGATGCACACTGCAGAATTTGAAACTACCTGCACTGTTAATGGTATCTGATAATAAGTTATGGTCCTGAAACCACACACCACACTGATAAAATGCAGGGGAATTTAATAGAAGTTTATTCTCATTAAACAGCTATCCTTCCTGTGTTATAAAATGATTAAGTAGTTAATTTTTAAAAAATCATACATGGAATATTAGCACACATGAAGCAGTGTTATATCTCTTTTTACAGCATGATTCATTGCAAAAAACGGGAGGAAAGCTGTAAATATATTCTAAACCAGAGACTGAAGTAGCAGTACTCAATGTGATATAGATACAGTGTTCTGGCAGTAGAGGGCACAGTGCTACTAGTTACACTGCAAGCTATATTCCATTGTCAGTACTATGAAAGTTATTTCTTTTTAAACACTGACAGATTTTTCCAGAGACTGATGATAGGAATACAACATTTTAATATAGCTTACTTCCACTAAAATAAATTGTTGACATGAACAGTATTTGATGTATAGTTAGAAAATATAAGCATTCTATAGACAAGCTTGGACTATATTTTTACTGGATCTTAATTTGACCATAAATACATGTTTCATCTATCATGTTCCCAAGAATCAGTGCAAAAAAAAAATCTACCCGGATTTTTAGTGTTCACGGAGAAACATTGCTCTTAATTCTCCTTCACATGAATCCTTCTCTTTTCTTCTTTGCAGGGATCCATGCAATCATTTACCCCATCTCCAGTGGAATGTCATTCCTCGGGGCTCATATCCAACTCCCCAGTCTTGTCAGGAAGTTACAGCAGTGGAATCTCTTCACTTAGCCGATGTAGCACATCAGAAACTTCTGGCTTTGAAAGTCAAGGGAGTGAACAAACTATTCCAAACTACAGTGTTTCTGAGGAGCCGATGAGAAAAGAAAGTAAAACTCCGCCACCTTACAGCGTTTATGAACGAACTTTGAGACGGCCTGTTCCGCTACCTCACAGCCTCTCCATCCCTGTCACTTCAGATCCACCAGCACTGCCACCCAAACCCCTGCTGGCGCGGCCAAACAATCTGGAAAACAGTAGCCGGAGGACTGAACAGGTTCCTCGGCCCAGGCCTCTTCCTCGGAAAGTGTCTCAGTTATAAGAAGTCACTTTTATATTTACTTGCAATGAATTCTTTACCGTTTACGAAATAATATTTAAAAAAAGTAAAATACATTTAGTGTAGGCACTTTAATATTTTACCCAATTTTTCTTTTAAATGATTTTTAAAATGCTTATTAATATTATGTTGCACATTATTAAATGAAATTAATAATTTTGATTGCCAGATATTACAGGAAGCATGAATGAGAGAATGTTGTTAATTTCAAGGTGGTAAATATGGATGCATAGCTTTTTGGTATGTTATGTTCATTTTTTAAAAAATAATTTAATTAAATCTAAAACCCCACAAGCTCTCATTTGCATTAGTTGTATGCTTCTTACAAAATGTAGGCTATGCTAACTGAGCTAATTACTAGAAATAAATGCACGCTTCCTAACCACATTGTTTGTAGGCTAGGACATTTCTGCAAGTAGGCTGAAGGTTGTTCCCATTTCCCCATGAGCAGGTTGGTCAATTCAAATATCTGTGCATGTGGGGTTAGGGGTGGTGCGGAGGAGGGGATTGTTAATGCAAGTTACCCCGCAGTAAAAAGTTCTAAAGACAAAAGTTGTAAGTTCTTGAAACAAAATACTACTTTTGTGTTGCTTTCTAAGAGTAACAAATATTCACATTTCATTCAGTGTAGAACACCTTTCTGGGAATTAATTTGATTGTTGAGAAACTCTTTAGTCCCATAACAGTAGCTTATCTCCTGTATCTGGTGCACTTCTTTCTTTTTAAGGTGCGATTTACCTTTACTCTTTCAGTTAGCCCATACAAAAAAAATTCCCATTAATAGTTAGTTGGAGGTTTTCTCCTGTCTTTGAAAGTTAACTTCAAAAAAAAAAAACCTCTGTACCAGAAGAACAAATATCCAGATATTATAGAGGCATAAATGAATGTGTCCCGTTAATAAGGATACACAAGAATCAATACTGGTTAGTATTAAATCAATGCAGTAAGTGAACAAATTTAAAGAATATAAATCACTAGCTATGTATCAGTAAATTTTTAAAAGATAAAGGGCATTAATTCACAATTCTGCACAAATTAGCAAAATTCCTAACAGCTCTTCGTGTATATTCTTACTAGTGCGGGTTTTTGTTGTTGTTTGTTATTGGTTTTTATTTTTGATTGGTTGTTTTAACTTAGTTGATCATTGTCATCTTTACTGAAGGAAGATGATGGTAGACAGTTCTAGGTTGAATTTCACTAGATAGCGTCTGTAAAGCAATGAAAAGCTAATGCCCAGATGTAGGAGTGTGGAGAAAGCACCTTGTGTATGTATTTTTTGTAGCTCTCTTTCTTTTACTTACTGTTTTTAACACTTGGTTGACAACAGATTTATGAACTGTATTTTAAATCATGTTGTTAAAAATATTCTCCTTCTTTTTTGGGGAAGCTCATGTTGGTTTTAATTGTTTGCTTTGTTGATAGCTTAACTGGAAGAAAGTGACCACTTTTTATATTCTCTCAGTGAAACCTTCAGCAGGTATGTGCTGTTGATGGTAGCTATAGAGGTTTTCTATAATAAATGTTCAAGTATTTTTGTACATAACTGGTTAATTTTAATAAGGAGTGTACCATTATGTGAAAAAAGAAGCAAACAGTTGTGTATGCAGTAAGATTGTTATAATTATGCCAAATACTTTATGTATGGAAAAAAGAATATTTGTACATATGTGCTTTTAACAATAATTCTGCCATATTGACTTTACAATTTTGAATGTCAGAAAAAATTAATATATGTTAAAATATTTATGTTTTAGTGAAAGTATTCATAACTGAAAAAGGAACATATGAATTTTAGCTTTGTATCTTGCCTATTTTGAAGTCTGAAATTCCTTGAACTAGCTCTTGCTTTTGACTATAACATTTTTGTGTCTGTAACCACATTATAAAAGATGTAGAAGGCTACATATTTATGCTGGTATGAAGAGGTAATGCCTAAGATTTAACTAAGGTGTCACAAGTAAGATAACAAAGCTGCTTTGATTCCGCCCCCCCCCCTGTGTAGTTTAATAGATTGGTTGACTAGTGCTTGAGCACAGTATGAATCAGTGTTATTTGCTCCTGAAGCCATTTATTTTATTTCTGGCAGTGAGCAGAATTGTTGAATTTATCATTTGCATATATTATTGAAGTCAGCTTTGCAGCAAAACATTTCATGAGGTTTCTGTTTACCCAGATGCTCATATAGGTTGCTGCAGAATAAAGTTACTTGATTAATCTTTATAGTATAATTTGTTTTCCACGTAGTAGTAGATTATAAATCAGTTTGTCATAAAATTAAACTTTCTGCCTCCTTTGCTTCAAAGATCCAGTTTTCTTTCTGATAAAAATCTCCTGGATTGAGTTAGTCCTTTCCCTGCTCGGTTCTGTAATGGCTTTGTGAGACAATTGCCAAGACAGTAAAGATTTGGAGGGCATTCACCTGCACTTCTGATCAATGGAGGACTGTAAAATTTACTATAAGAGTTAGGTTAATTTATGGCAATTTGAACTCCCTGTTTTTATAACCAAGACATCAGGAACACTCTGAACAATAGGAGACCATAAAAAAATGACAGTGAAGTGCTGTAAAAAGGAGCTGACACATTTTCTGCTTTGCCAGTTTTGACAAATTGTTTCTGTAGATCAGCTTTTCTTCCTGGCTTCTACAAAAATGTAGTCTGAAATTTGTTATGTATGCTACAACACCCAGAGCTTGAAAGCCTACTGTAAATAAAGCTCTCATTTGAATTTTATGCATTATGAATAAATGTAGTTTTCTGACTTATTTAGTGACATTAAGCAGTTCAGAAAATAATGCAAGAGATGTATCAGAACACTCCCCCGTCACCCAATAATGTACCTGTCATGCTGTCTGGAATGACTCTCAAATGTGAGTGCCTGTCTCAGGACAAACTGTCAGAAAACAAGGGCAGATACCCCAAAATGGTGGTATGTTCTATAATTAGATTTCACCAAACCAGTAACAAATGGATCATTATACCAGTCTTATCATGGAGTCACAGACAGTCCCCTTAAGCTCTCCAGCCTATCTTGCCACCCAGAGACATTGGACTTAGTGATTATGGTCACATAAACCAAAAATCACATCACATCAGGTTGCTGCCAGTCCCAAGAGACTAGTCACTTACTCCAGATCAACTGGAATTCTAGATATTACACCAAAGACAACGCTGGCAGTCAATTCTATAGTAAACCAACTATAGGTTTATTAGCTAAGAAAAAGCATGAGAGTTATTGAGTGGTTAAAGCAGGTAAAATATAATAACATGTGAGTCAAAGTCTGTAAATCCAAAATGATAGCAGAGATGTAGCAATCTGCCAATTTCCCAGAAGTCTGTCAGGGATACCCAGAATAACTCTGGGGATCTCTGACTTCTCATTCAGTTATTCCACCCTGTTAGAATCGAAACAGTCCAGAGATAAAGGCTCTCTTTGAATCAGTGCTTATAGCTTCTTTTCACAGACAACAATCTGACAAGTGTCTGTACCCACACAATGGCCAATTTCTTTGAATTTAGCTCTCTTCATTTGCATTCAGTGAGTTATTTAGTTACAGGGATATACATAATGAAAATGCTTGTCATTACATTATAATAGGAATAGATAAGTGAAAACAATACAAGTAACGTTTCATTAGTTTTCATGAAGTTCTAACACCTGATACACTCTTACATTAACACACAGTTTGATCTAGGGTTACTTAATTACTAGGTATGCATAATGTAATAGTAAACAACAGGATAAACATAGGTGGAAACAGTACAATTAACGTCTCCTCTGAGCTCTATTAACACACAAGTGAATTGGCCCGAATATATACTAATACATTTAATTCCTTTGATATTCACACACAAGTGAATTGGCCTAAGGCTCTGGCCTGAGCTGGTCTGTCAGCGTCACAGTACCAACACCCAGTTACAAATTGTTGTCAGTGGCTTCATGATTGCTTTTCAGTATTATCCAACATCTGTATAACACTTGTGATGGTCTTACTTCCTAATAAGGCAGTCAGCGTGTATCTGGGATCCTATAGTGGTAAGTGCAATATGAACTGGCCAGTTTTTTAGCAGTGCAGTACACTGCAGTTCAGGAGCTAGCTCTCTGAATTTCCAATTATCAGAGGGGCAGCTGTGTTAGTCTGTATCCACAAAAACAACAAGGAATCCGGTGGCACCTTAAAGACAAACAGATATATTTGGGTATAAGCTTTCGCGGGTAAAAACCCACTTCTTCAGATGCATGTAGTGAAAATTACAGATACAGGCATAAATATATATTGACACATGAAGAAAGGGGAGTTACCAAGTGGAGAACCAATGTTGAAGGCCAATTCAGTCAGGGTGGATGTGGTCCACTCCCAGTAATTGATGAGGAGGTGTCAATACCAAGAGAGGGAAAATTGCTTTTGTAGTGAGCCAGCCATTCCCAGTCTCTATTCAAGCTCAAATTGATGGTGTTAAGTTTGCAAATTAATTGTAGCTCTGGAGTTTCTCTTTGAAGTCAGATTTTAAATTTTTTGTTGTTGAAGAATGACTACTTTTAAATCTGTTATTGAATGTCCAGGGAGATTGAAGTGTTCTCCTACTGGCTTTTGTGTGTTACCTTTCCTGATGTCTGATTTGTGTCCATTTATCCTTTTACGCAGAGACTGTCCAGTTTGACCAATGTACATGGCAGAGGAGCATTGCTGGCACATGATGGCATATATCACATCAGTAGATGTGCAGGTGAATGAGCCCCTGAAGGTGTGGCTGGTGTGGTTGGGTCCTATGATGGTGTCACTAGAATAGATATGAGGGCAGACGGCAACGGGGTTTGTTACAGGGATTGGTTCCTGGGTTAGTGTTTCTGTGGTGTGGTGTGAGTTGCTGGTGAGTATTTGTTTCAGGTTGAGGGGCTGTCTGTAAGCGAGGATTGGCCTGCCTGAATTTCCAATGAAAGGGATGTTGGTGCAGGCTAACAACACTTAGTAAGCTGACTTGTGTGAACTCCTTTAATTTAAAATCATAGGATGACATTCACCTCTGCACAGAGAGCTGCAAAGGCCTTGTGGTGGCCCTCTGCACTGGGATGAATTTCACGCATAAAAATGTAGCCTTAACTTTAAATTTAGTACAGTTCCTGCCCTCTAGGTCGGTGTACAGAGGGGGCCTGCTGCACATAGATTTTTTTTCCTGCTACCATATGGAAATGCAGACTCATTCCCCTTATTCCCAGACCTCACAGAAGCCTCTTTAAATGGTCCCAGTGTCTGGTGCTGAGAGAATAGGCAAAGACTGAGGGGACCAGGCAGGAATGGGTGGACAGGTATTTGTATGTAAGTGGGCCAGGAAGGAATTTGCGGGGGGGCGGGAGGTGAGTGAGTGAGAGTCACACATCACATCATCCCTCTTCAGGCCCCAAGGAACTTTACCTAAAATATATATATATATATATATATATATCCTGGACTTTATTATCTGTTCTACACAGCCTCTCTGATCCAGAGGTGGCAGGGTCAGGCATGGCCAGGGTAGATATTTTGAAGTATCACTCCAATACACCCAGGCTACTGGCAGACCCGAGCTCATGTGGAAGCTTAATACCTCATGACAAAACTAGAATGATTAAAATTAACATAGCACACGTTAATTGGATTAAAAACTGGCTAACTGATAGGTCTCAATGTAATGTAAACATGGAATAGCCATTGAATGGGTGTGTTTCTAGTTGGGTCCCCCAGGGTTCTTGCCCTGTTCTTTTTAACATATGTATTAATTACCTGGAAGAAAACATAAAATTATCACTGATAAAGTTTGCAAGTGACTCAAAAATTGGAGGAGTAATAAATAATGAAGAGGACAGATCACTGATATGTAGCCATCTGGATTGCTTGATAAACTGGGCACAAGCAATTTGTGTTTTAATATGTCCAAATGTGTAAATGTATACATCTAGGAACAAAATGTAGGCCATACTTACAGGACAGGGACAGCAATGACTCTGAGAAGTATTTGGGGGACGTAGTGGATAATTAGCTGTACATGAGCTCCCATTGTAACATTGTGGCATAAGGGCTAATGCAATCCTTGGATGCATAAGTAGGGAAATGTTGATTAGAAGTAGAGAGGTTATTTTACCACTGTATTTGGCACTGGTGCAACTACTGCTCCAATACTGTGTCCAGTTCTGGAGACAACAATTCAAGAAGGGTGTTGCTAAACAGGAGAGGGTTCAGAGAAGAGCCACAGGAATGATTACAAGATTAGAAAACATGCCTTACTCGTGGAGCTCAATCTATTTAGCTTAACAAAGAGAAGGATAAGGGGTGACTTAATTACGCTCTAGAAATATCTAGATGGAGAACAAATATTTGATAATTGGCTCTTTGATCTAGCAGAGAAAGGTGTAATGTGGCTGGAAGTTGAAAGTAGACAAATTCATACCGGAAATATTGTTAACAGTAAGAGTAATTAACCATTGAAACAACTTACCAAAGGTTGTGGTGGATTCTCCATTTCTGACAATTTTTAAATCAAGATTTAAAGTTTTTCTAAAAGACCTGCTCTACAAATTCTTCTACAGCCTGTGTTATACAGGAGGTCAGACTAAATGATCGCAATCGTTCTTTCTGCCTTGGAATCTACGAAACAAAGGAGCTCTGCATGGATGGCTGTGGCTCCCATATCCCTGTGGATCCAGGCAGATCTGGCAGCTTTAGGTGTAGGCCTCATGACTTTTCTACAGTGGAGGGACCAAAGCCCAGTATAAGAATGTGAATAGAAGTCTGCAAATGGACCCTTATAGACCGTTCCTCCCAGCACCGGATATAGTATGAGAGGGGCTGATCTGGGCCACCGTTATAAACCACTGCCGTATTTTTTATTAGATTTATTTGTCCTTATAAGGTCCCCGTGCTTTTAATCCAGTTGTTACTGATACTTAATTCAGCAAAATACATTGGTTGTTTTTGTAAACATTAATGCACTACCTTGACGTTAGATTTACCAAACATTTGAGAGAGGTCTGGGAATCACCTATGGAAGGTTTAGACCTGCGGGCCTCAATGTACGTACAATCATCATCAGCTACATAGAGTGACTATTCCTTGGCAGTGGCATTCCTCTCATGCTAGTGGTGAAGAAAACAGTAAAAATGCTCAGCTGTGGATTATTTTAATATGGAACTCTTTGCATCTGATAGCACCGGCTGCCACCTCTGCAGACTGCTGTGCATCAGCGTGCATGGTGCAAACCTCCATAGTATGGATGGGTAAACTTTCTGTGCCTAACTTAGAAACTACAATGACCAAAGGAGTTTGATGGTGCAGTTCTAATTTGATGCTGTTGGTTTTCCTTTCAGAAGAGAGATTATGAGAAGAAAGGAAAGGAAGGGAGGGAGAATTGGAGGTGAAGAGAGTCAAAAATAGGGAGCAGATAAACTCACACTGAAGAGATAAGGATGCAGGAACAACTTTGAAAATGGGAAGCCTCACCCGAGCTGGACGTACTTCAGTTGGGGGAAGGGCTTACAAAGGAATCTCTTCAGCACAGCAAAGTGGCAGGTGGAGAGAGTCAAACCTGCACTTGCTACCATGGAGGGACTATGTCAGAAGGGTATCCCCAGGAGGAGGACTCCTGCATGAAGCCAGGACTCCCCAGCCTTCAGAGGCCCATGGGCACCCCAAGGAGGGACAGTACAGTAGGAAGAGACCCAGGGGAGGGAGATGGCAGGACCACAAGTAGCTTTGTATAGTTGGCAAAA